TACTTTAGTCTTCATACTATGGGTGTAAGCAGTTTATTTGTCACCCTTATGACATTGGAATATTCCAAGGTTGTCTGTGAACTTACTTTACTAAGGAGTTATGGTTTTTCTGCTCCTAGTGTTGTCTTCTTTCAGATCAAAGAACTCCCTTTAGCATTTCTTGTAAGTCAGGTCTAGTGTTTATGAATTCCCTTAGCTCTTGTTTGTCTGGGAAAGACTGTATTTCTCCTTCATATTTGAAGGTTAGTTTTGCTGGATATAGAATTCTTGGCTGACAGTCTTTGACACTCTGAAAATATCATCTCTTCTTGCCTATAGGGTTTCTACTGAGAAATCTGCTCAGAGACTATTAGGGCTCCATTGAATGTTATGTGTTTATTTTTCTTGCTGCTTTCAGTATTCTCTCTTTGCCTTTAGGTTTTGATAATTTGATTATGATGTGCCTTGTGGTGTTCCTCCTTGAATTGAATTTGATTGGTGACCTCTGAACTTCCTGTACCTGGGTGCTGTCATCTTTCTCCATACTTGTGAAATTTTCAGCCATGATATTCTTGAATATGCTTTCAACATCTCTTCCTTTTTCCTCTCCTTTGGGTATGCCAATTGTGTGGAGGTTATTTTGCTTGGAGGAGTCCTATATTTGCTGTATTTCTGTTTCTTTCTATTTTTTTTTTAATTCTTTTTTCTTTTTTTCCCCTCTGATCTGATAATGTCATGTGTTCTGTCTTCAAGCTCATTGGCTCTTTCCTCTAAGTTTGCTGTTGGGGCTTCCTATCGTTTGCTGGTACAGATAATCTATTCTTTATTTTTAGGATTTCTTTTTTTTTTTTTTAATTGACTCTATTCCTTTTGTAAGTTTCTTGTTCTGCTCCTGGATTGTTTTCCAGATATCATTTAATTTTTTATCTGTATCTTCTTGTGACTTCCTGAATATTCCTGAGAGGGTTATTCTGAATTCTCTGTAGGACATTTTATAAATCTGCTCTTTCTGTATCTTTGTGTGTTTACATTAATGCCTGGGCATTTGAGGAAACTGCTAACTCTTCTAGGTTTTATAGGTGTTCTTTGGTGGATTCCTGAGAGGGTTATTCTGAATTCTCTGTAGGACATTTTATAAATCTGCTCTTTCTGTATTTTTGTGTGTTTACATTAATGCCTGGGCATTTGAGGAAACTGCTAACTCTTCTAGGTTTTATAGGTGTTCTTTGGTGGTGTTAGACTTTTTCTGGTTAATATCAGAGCTTTGTCTCTGGTCTGTGGTTTTATTAATTCCAAAATTGGGGGAACATACTGTGGGGACCAGCACTTGAGCCCTGTGGTTGAGCTAAATTGCTGCTTTGCTGCTGATTCTCTGGGGAAGGCTTTTTCTGTGGATCAGATTTTAATTGTTGGCTTTTTAATCACTTCTACGTCTTGTGAGGTCAGATACACCTGGGCTGTGTGGAAATTCTGGCCCAGCACCGGGTCTATCCTGCATACTGCACCCCCTGTAGTTCTCTTGCCCTGACCAGTTTCCACTGAGTCGGCCTGTGCTGATAGGAAGGCAGATCAGCTTCCCATGCTGTACCCTAATGTTTCCTAGGTGGGCCAGCCTCCCTCTGCACTCCAAACACTTCCCATGGAGAAGGCTGTATTCAGGTCCCTCGTGATGACTCACTGGCCTCTGGGTGGCACCTTTCTTCCATCTGCTGTAGCCCCTCACTCCTATATGGGTTCATAGGAGCCCTATCAGTGGTTTTGCTGGAGTGGTGTCTGGTATGGTGTGCTCTGAGGCCCTCTTCTCCCCTGCAGACTCCAAACAACTTTGCACAGAGTGCTCAGCTGCAGCTTTTGCTGGCTCCTGTTGGCTCCCGCTGGCTCCTGCTCCATGAGCTGCTACCTCTTCCTGTCCCTCCCTGGACCAGCCCTGAAGCAGCCAGGGCTTGAAATGGTGGGAACTGTCCCTTTTCCTTCTCAGCACAGCTTCATGAACTTTAAGAGTCTCTCCTTCTCTTTGTCTGAGCTCCAGCAGTCATGGGATGGCAGTCATTGCTTTTTAATAGTTGTAAATTGATTGGTTGTTGGGGAGAGAGTGATGCTGGGGACAGGCTATGTCATCTTCTTGATCTGTGATATATAAAGTTCTTACAACAAAAATGTTTTGTAATATGTAGGTTTATGTTGTTGCTCAGCTATCACTGTTATACCTGTTAAGCTTTATACATAAAATATTTTTAAACAAAAAAGCATAATTTTTTTTTTTTTTTTTTTTACCTTTTAATATACTTCTGTTTATGCTTTTTGGGGAACTGGCCCCACGTTTTCCTTTTGCACTGGCATGTCATTTATGTAGTCATATCTGCCCTGTTTTTTTTTTTTTTTTTAATAGTAGTAATAATAGAAAAAATCCCAGCCCCCATCTAATGATCTTATTGGATGCTGAGAAAGCATTTGACAACATCTAGTATCCATTTCTGATTAAAATTCTCAAGTAGAAAATAGAAGGGACCTTCCTTAATCTGATAAAGGGCATTTATAGGAAACTTGAAATTGACATTGTTCATAATTGTGAAAAACTGGTTTCTTTCTAATATCAGGAACAAGACAGGATGTCCACTCATACTCAGTAGTGTAATAGTCTAGCTAGTATAATCAGAGAAGCAAAAGAAATAAAATGAGACCAGAGTGGAAAAGAAGTAGAACTGTCTTTATTCACAAAAGACTTGATTATCCATGTAGAAAATGCAATGGAGTCTACAAAAGAAAAATGATTAGAGCTGTTAAGTGAGTGTAACTAGGTTGCAGGATAAAAATATATCAAAGTCAATTTTACTTCTATAGACTTAGCAATGATCAGTTGAAAATTGAAATTTTTAAAAAGTTCTATTTGCAATAGCATCAAAAATATCTTTTGCAAATATGTCTGGCAAAAGATTTGAAAGACCTCACTGAAAACTAAACCACTGCAAAGAGAAATTGAAGATCTAAATAAATGGAGCTCCCTGTTAATGTGACAGAATGCTCAATATTGTTAACATGTTTTTTCCTGAAAATGATGTGTAGATTCAGAACAATCTCAATATAATTCCTTGTAATATTTAGCAGACTTTCTTGCAGTAATCAACCACCTAGTTCTAAGCTTCATACGGAAGCACAAAGGAGCTAGGATAACTAAACATCTGAAAAATAAAACCTAAGTTTAGGGATAATACTACTTGATTTCAAGACTCATTGTAAAATTACAGTAAAGTATGTTGAGACTTGGCCTTTTTGTCCAGAGGACTCTTTCTTCAGTTTTAAGGTCTAGTCATTTTATTAAGGTATGTCTGACATTGGACTATTCCAGGTTAGTTTTCCTAGGGATATGGTAGTTCCTTTGAATATGTGGATCAGGTCTTCTTTTTATTCTGGACAGTTTTCTTAGATTATAGTTTTTATTATAAGATTTGTTCTATTGTTTTCTTTTTTCCTCTTTAGGGACTGCAATAATATATATATTACATAATGTATGATAATTCCATTTATTTAATTACAGAATCTTTTCTTTCTCCAGAGCTTACTTTCTGATCCAATTTTCTTTTTTGTTGTTGTTGCTGATCTTTTGTCTCCTTTTATGTCCTTTTTCAATGATATATTTAAAAATTTTAGTCAAGTCTAGTTTCGCTTTGGGCTATGTATTAGTCTGCTGAGGCTGGTATAATAAAATACCACAGGCTGGGTGGCTTAAACAGCAATATTTAATTTTTTGTAATTAGCTGGCTAGAAGTCCAAGATCAAGGTGCTAGTAGGGTTGTGTTCTGATGAGGCCTCTCTCCTTGGCTTGCTGATAGCATCTTTTTGCTGCATCCTCATGTGGTCTTTTCTCTGTGTGTGCATGTGGTGATTGGGGGTGTGAGGGGAGAGCATGCATGTGCTCTGGAGTCTCTTCTTCTTGTACTTTTTTTTTGAAAAGACTGGTAAGGGGATCTTAACCCTTGACTTGGTGTTGTCAGCACTACGCTCTCCATGCAAGCTAACCAGCCATTTGTACATAGGGATCCGAACCCGTGGCCTTGGTGTTATCAGCACCACACTCCCAAGTGAGCCTTGGGCCAGCCCTGGAGTCTCTTCTTATACAAACACCAATTCTGGATTGGGCCCCATCCTTATGACCTCATTTAGCCTTAATTGCCTCCTTAAAGACCCCACATCCTTACAGTAACTTTTAAGGTTAGGCCTTCAACATATGAATGGGGAGGGAGCAATTTAGTACACAATAGGTTCCTTGTAATTTAAATTCTATTTTCTAAGGTGACTTGGTCCTTTTTATAATTTTATGCCTGACTTTGATCATCCCTTGCTTCTTTATTTTCCATACACTCCAAGTCTCTTCTCTTGGTTTTTCTAGTAAACTGAGCTCTAATCTGCCCAAACTTAGACTTCTCAGCATTTTCCCACTCACAATGGAACTTTCTTAGAGTAATTTATTTATGTTTCATGACTTCTAGTCTCTCTCCTCTTTTTCATGTGATCAGCATGATCACATGATCAGCAATGTCTCCAGCTGACTTTTTTCATAGGAGTGGGCTACTAATTTCTTCTATATTTCAATATTTATTTCCTCTTTTAGTGGTTATTTGAAGTTAGCAGTAGTCTCTGTCTACTAGTTTTGTTAAAGTCATGGTTTGTTATAGGTAATTTGCTATCCTTGTATTGATCCCTACAATTTTTGGAGAATGCATGTAGAGATTCAGATTTAAGCAATTGCCGTTATTCTTCATACGTTGTTCTAATATGTGTTCTAAATTGCCAGATTGCTCTTCCTTTTTCCACTATGCCAGGCCTTTTATTTCTGGTTTTTGTTTTTCAACTCAAACCCATGAAATAGAAAAAATATGTACTTGGAATTATTTTCATTCCTGGAAATGAAATTGGACTAAAAAAATCAGAATTAGCTACAACATAGGCTATTTTTGTAGAGTTTCATTCCATAAGAAATGTGTTAGTAGTTATATAGTAATATTAATTTTTCTTATTTCTAGAAGTTTGGAAAGGTGATCATCTGAAAGAAAGGAGCCTAGAAAACCAGCCTAAAAATTTGTGGGAAGTTGTATTCATCAATAACAAAGCACAGACTAAGGAACGAGGTAATGTAATAGGAAAACTATTTAACTTGGACGTAAATTGTTTTCGTTCCAGAACAATACTCTGTCAGTGTGACTCATGTGGAATAAATTTCAACAATATTTCAAAATTGATTATCAATAAGAAAAACTATTTAGGAAAAAAGTCTGATGCATTTAATGCCTGTGGGAAATTGCTGCTCAATACTGAGCATGAGAATATTCTTACTAGAGAGAAAAGTGATTTTTTTAAAAATAGGAAAACCCTCAGTCATCATGAGGACCCTATTTACCACAAGAAGATTCAAACTTTAGAACAAAATTTTGAATATAATATGTGTCGGGAAACCTTTGAAAAGGCAATATTCGATACACACAAGAGAGAGAACTCGGAAGAGAATGACTTTGAATATAATGAATATGGGAGAACTTTCTGTGGTAATTCATCCATTTTGTTCCATCAGATACCTCTTTCAAAGGTGAATCAGTATGAATTTAGAGATTGTGAAAAAACCTTATGTGTGAAGCCTACCCTTTTGAAACATCATGAGGTACAAATGAAACATTATGAACATAATGGAAGTGGAAATAATTTGAAGAGGAAGTTTTATCTCTTACAACTTCAGAAAATTCATAAAGGAGAGAAACACTTTGAATGTAATCAATGTGGGAAAGCTTTCTGGGAGAAGTCTCATCTCACTCGCCATCAGAGGGTTCACACAGGAGAGAAACGCTTTCAGTGTAATAAATGTGAGAAAACTTTCTGGGAGAAGTCAAACCTCACTAAACATCAGAGATCACACACAGGGGAGAAACCTTATGAATGCAGTGAATGTGGGAAAGCCTTTAGCCACAAGTCTGCCCTCACGTTACACCAGAGAACACATACTGGGGAAAAACCATATCAGTGTAATGCATGTGGGAAAACTTTTTACCAGAAGTCAGATCTCACTAAACATCAGAGAACACACACAGGGCTGAAACCCTATGAATGTTATGAATGTGGGAAATCCTTCTGTATGAATTCACACCTTATAGTACATCAAAGAACTCACACAGGTGAGAAACCCTTTGAATGTCTTGAGTGTGGAAAATCCTTTTGTCAAAAGTCACATCTTACACAGCATCAGAGAACTCACATAGGGGATAAACCCTATGAATGTAATGCTTGTGGGAAAACTTTCTACCACAAATCAGTACTCACAAGGCATCAGATAATTCATACAGGGTTAAAACCTTATGAATGTTATGAATGTGGGAAAACCTTCTGCTTGAAGTCAGATCTCACAGTACATCAGAGAACTCACACAGGGGAGAAACCCTTTGCATGTCCTGAATGTGGGAAATTCTTTAGCCATAAGTCAACTCTCTCTCAACATTATAGAACACACACAGGGGAGAAACCTTATGAATGTCATGAATGTGGAAAAATTTTTTATAATAGATCATACCTAACTAAACACAATAGAACACATACAGGGGAGAAACCCTATGAATGCAGTGAATGTGGAAAAACCTTTTGTCAGAAGTCACAACTCACTCAGCATCAGAGAATTCACATAGGGGAGAAACCCTATGAATGTAATGAATGTGGGAAAGCTTTCTGCCATAAGTCAGCTCTAATTGTACACCAGAGAACCCATACAGAAGAAAAGCCCTATAAATGTAATGAATGTGGAAAATCTTTCTGTGTGAAGTCAGGACTTACTTTACATCAGAGAAAACACACAGGGGAAAAACCCTATGAATGCAATGAATGTGGGAAATCCTTCAGCCACAAATCATCCCTCACAGTACATCACAGGGTTCACACAGGAGAGAAATCTTGTCAATGTAGTGTTTGTGGGAAAATCTTTTACCGTAAGTCAGACCTTGTGAAACATCAGAGATCACACACAGGGGAGAAGCCCTATGAATGTAACATATGTAGAAAAACCTTCTCTCAAAAGTCAAACCTCATTGTACATCAGAGAACACACACAGGAGAAAAATGTTATGAATGAAATGAGTATCAGAAATGTTCAGTCACAAGTCGGCCTCCACAATACTTCAGAGTATTCATACTGTGGTGAAAGCTCTTTTGACATCCTGAATGTTCAGTAACCTTCATTCATAAACTGGCCTTTTTTTTATCCTAAAGTAGTGTTAGGGGACAAACTCAGGCTGCACAAATATAGAACAGCGTTTGTTAAGAGGTGACATTTCATTGGATGTCAGGTATAAAACCTTGCAGATTTTTTTAATTTGTAGAAGTTTTTAGCAAATATCAGAGTTTGTATTGAGAAATTTGTCAACTTAAGGAATATAAATTGTAAATTTTTGCTTAGAAATAATGTAACATTACAAATTGTATTTTGGGTTTGATGCCATAATTTTCTTTAGGAAATACAGCAAATAGTAATTTATAGATGTACGTTGTGGAATGTAAAGCCTTAAAAACGTTTTTAAAAAGTAATAAAAAATATAGTCACAAGAAGTTGCAATAAGAGTGCAGAGAATTCCCTTCATCGAGATTCCTCTAATGATAGTATCTTACATATTATTCTCAAATACAAGAAATTGATGACACAATGTTACTAACTCAGATAAAGACTTTATTCAGATTTCACCAGTTTTTATATGCAACCTGTGTGTGTGTGTATTTGTATGTGTAGTTCTATCAAATTTTACCACTAGTATATTTGAGTAGCCATCAGCACATTTAGGTTACAGAACTGAAAAGGAATCTGGGATCTGCATTGCATCAGGATTACAAAGAAATCAGGATCTAACCTCAAGAAGTTCCCTTGTATTGATAGTCACACCCTTTCCACAACCCTAACCTTGGCATCCATTTTAATACAAATCTCTTTAAAAGCATAAAGATATATATATATATATATATATATGCTGTCTATATATATAAATTGAGCAGTGAGGCCAATAGCATTAAATACATTTGTACGGAAGTGCATAGGACTTATGTGTGTATGAATGGTACAGTATATAAACTGTGTATGTGTTTCATATGCACAATGGAACTTAATGTAATTGTGAATAGGAAGTGCGTATCCCTAGTTTAGTAGTTGTTGCAACATCAGGCCCATCCCTAATGTTTGTAAAGCCTGGGGCAACAGTTTAAATGGAGGCCCATGGAGCATGTGTCTAACCGTTTAAAAGTTATAAATCAAAATAACACAATTTAAATGTGTCCTGTGAGTGAGGATGTCCAGGCCCTACTCCATGTTGCTTCTTTTCTCTTCTCACCCGTGGTTCATCCTGAGCCATGATGTGCCTTTGTGTACATATGTGGACACTCCAGCCTTCAACCTAAATTATTGTCCAAACCTTCTGTAAGCAGCTGCCTTCCAAGACAGCCTAGGGAAGAGGCTTACCCATACAGACTAGATGCTGCCCAGAGTTGTTTGGCTGTAAATTCAGGGTAAAGCCTGGGGCAACAGTTTAAATGGAGGCCCATGGAGCATGTGTCTAACCGTTTAAAAGTTATAAATCAAAATAACACAATTTAAATGTGTCCTGTGAGTGAGGATGTCCAGGCCCTACTCCATGTTGCTTCTTTTCTCTTCTCACCCGCGGTTCATCCTGAGCCATGATGTGCCTTTGTGTACATATGTGGACACTCCAGCCTTCAACCTAAATTATTGTCCAAACCTTCTGTAAACAGCTGCCTTCCAAGACAGCCTAGGGAAGAGGCTTACCCATACAGACTAGATGCTGCCCAGAGTTGTTTGGCTGTAAATTCAGGTGTCTAATGTACCTAGGCAGGGATCTGGGTCCCCAGAGACTTGACAATATGAGGAGGGTGGAGGCTGGAACTGGGCCAGAAATAAGCTAGAGTGGGACTCTTATCAAAAATGTAAATGTTGGGGCCGACCCCATGGCTCACTCGGGGGAGTACGGCGCTGGGAGCGCAGTGGTGCTGGTAGCGCTGAGGCTGCGGGTTTGGATCCTATATAGGGATGGCCGGTGCGCTCACTGGCTGAGCGCGGTGCGGGCGACACCAAGCCAAGGGTTACGATCCCCTTACCGGTCACACACACACACACAAAAAGTAAATGTTGTATACTGTGTCACATGATCAGATTATAAAAGTAATCTAAAATTACACAATCTGCTGATCTTTGGTGACACAAGTAATCTACGTTTTCATCTTAGGAAACTAGAAAATGAGCAAAATAAGAAGGAAAAAATAGAGTAAAAAATCAATGAAATTGAAAACAGAAATTAAAAAATACCCAAAACTTGTTCTTTAAAAGGTCAATAAAATTGATAAACCTCTATCCAGATTAGCTAAGAAAAAAGAGAAGAAACAAATTGCTAATATCAAAAATTAAAGAGAGGCCATCACTACTGATCCTATGGACAATAGAAGTAATATTATGAACAACTCTGCCTATAAATTTGAAAACCTAGCTGAAATGGACCAAGTCTTTGAAAGATGAATTCTGTCAAAACTCACACAAGGATACACCTGAATAGGCATGTATCTATTCAAGAAATTGAAGCAATAATTGATAATCCTTAAAAAAATGTTCCAGGACCAAATGGGTGGTTCACTGGTAAATTCTATCAAACATTTGAGGTAGAAATGTTATCAGTTATTTACAATCTCTTCCAGAAAGTAAAAGCAGAGGGAATACTGCTTAATCCATTCCATGAAGCCAGCATTACTCCAATACCAAAACCAGGCAAAGATGCTGTAAGAAAGGAAGAGTGCAGACCAATATCTCTCATAAATACGCTCATAGATGCAGAAATCCTCAACAAAATATTAGCAAATCAAGCAATATATAAAGAGAATTACACACCGTGACCAAATGGGATTTATTTCAGGCATGCAAGGGTGGTTCAACAATTAATCAGTTAATGTAATCCATCACGTCAACAGGCCAAAGATGAAATATGATCATATCAGTTTATGCAGAAAAGCTTTTGGCAAAATCCAGTACCCATTCATGATAAAACCTTTTAGCAAACTAGTAAGTCAAGGGAACTTCCTTAAGTTGGTAAAGAACTACTACAAAAAAACCCTACAGATAAGTCATACTTAATGTCTCCAAACTAGATTCTTTCCCACTAAGATCAAGAACGGGCAAGGATGTCCCCTCTCTCCACTGCTTTTCAGCATCCTTCTGGAAGTCTTAGCTAATGCAGTATGACAAGCAAAGGAAATAAAAGGTACACAGATTTGGAAGGAAGAAATAAAACTGTCTTTGTTTGCAGATAACATGATTGTTTTCATAGAAAATTCGAAAGAAACACCACCAACAAAAACCTCCTGACAGTAATAAGCTATTATACCAAGGTTGCAGGGTATAATGCTCTGGCAGGCAGGTGATAAAAAGATATGGAATATCAAGTCACAAAAAGGCATGGAAGAACTTTAAAAGCATATTGTTAAGTGAAAAGAAGCCAATCTGAAAAGGCTTTATACTATATGATTTCAAGCATGCGTGTATGACATTTCCGCAAAAGACAAAACTATGGAGACAGTGAAAAGATCAGTGGTGGCCAGGGGTTCAAGGGGAAGGAGAGAGGGATGAATTGATGAAGAGGTGATTTTTTAGGGCACAAAAAGTATTCTGTAGGGTACTGTAATGTCATTATACATTTGTCAACACACGGAATGCAAAGCACAGAGTGAACCCTAATGTAAACTATGGACTTTAGTTAATAATGATGTATCAATACTGGCTCATCAATTATAAACAAATGTACCACACTAATGCAAGATGTTAATAATCAGAGAAAATGTGGAGGAGGGGAGGGATAGAGAGTTATATGGTATTCTCTACTTTTTGGTTAATTTTTCTGTAACCTTAAAACTATTCTAAAAAAATAAAGTGTACTTATTAAATAAATAAAGTGAATGAATGAATAAATAAATAAATAACCAGCCAATGCACCTTGCCTGCATGTTGCAATAAAGATAAGTCTATGGGAAGATGCTTTCTTGCATGTTTTACAAAATAAGAATAACATCATTCAGTTCCAATTTTTTCATACTGAGGATGGGGGTGGGAGGTGGGCAGGGGGCCACAATCTCAGAATTTATAGGTTGACAACCACTAGGCATATTTTCAGTGATAGCTTTTTGCTTTTCTAAGCCTTGTGATCTTTTTTAGAAGTATCTTAGTTTTCTTACCTCCCCACTTCATAACATCTTGTTGGTATGCTAACATTTGTGTCTGTTGGTCATATGTTTCTGCACTGAAAGTACAATCACCACTAATGAATCTTTGAATTGTTTTTATACATCCTTAATATATTTTAAATTATAGTAACTATGGCCTGAAATCAAGGTCCACCATTATTTGTTCGTGTGACATCTGAAGTCGAGGGTCTAGAATGGCATAACTGCAAGTTTCTCTCCCATTCTGCTCCCACAGTTAAGGTCCCCCAGCCAGACAGCCCTCCTTATCAAGGGGACCAAGTACAGATCCTGCTTATTACTGAGTAGGAAGTTTAACTTCCCTGCCAGCCCTCGGAATTAGTCAGACAATCCCACACCCACATCACATCCACAGTAAACAAGAGTCACTGTACCCTTTTGATACTACAAAGCTGCTTTCCATAGCCCCTGCTTTTTTACTTTGCTCCCAAGTAGGACTACTTTGTAGCCCCTAATTGTGTGTGGTGTCCTCACCTGGTCTGAGTATGTGTGATTGATAAACTCATGTAGAGTGTCAGGTGTCATGTGTTCAACCATTCTGTAACCCCAAGGTGGGAGTCCCTCCTTCACCAACAGAGTGAAGAGGAAGCAAAACAATTGGCATCATAAACAGGATGATTCACTCAAGACCATGGTCACTTAGTCAGCTTTAAGCTAAGTGCTCTTGGCTAACTAACTGGTTCCATAATATGGCAATGACTCCTTGGACAGCAACACTAGTTGCTAGCAGGCTTACGCTTTGGCCTGCACTGAACTGCTTTTTTTTGGGGGGGGGGGACATTTCGTCCCACCCTAAGATGTTCTTGTCCCCAAGACAAGAATTGTTAATTGGCTGTATCCATATATGATTTGCCATTGGGTTCAGCCTGCTTGGCAGGTGATCTCTGAGGCTCCCACTTGTAAAGGCAGTGACAAGACAGCACCGTAACTGATCAGCACTTCAGTCCCACTTAGTAAGGGTCTGTCTAGTGCTCTCTGGCTACTGTATATAGCCTGATGACTGTCATTGTTTCACTGGGGCACCTATGTACCCTGGGGTGGGCATGTGGGTGGTCCTCTCTGAGGCTTGTGGATAGGTAAGAGACTACCACTTGGTAGAATCAAGTATAGGACTCTGGCAGCCTAACATAAGTTGTTGTTCAGGCAAGGGTAGCTTGCTGCTGCTCTACACACTCTCCTGACCCCCAGGGTTATCAAGGTGTACATCCATGGTGGCCTGTGGCGTAGGCATGGCTGAGAAAAGAAAATGGGATCAGTCCTCGCAAATTACCAGAGGAAGTAACTCAACTGGTCTCCCAATGCAA